TGGGAAAACTGGAAATCCATATGCAGCAAAATGAAATTAAACCCCTATCTCTCACCATGCATGAAACTCAACTCAGAGTGGATCAAGGACCTAGGAATTAGTCCAGAGACCCTACACCTAATAGAAGAAAAAGTAGGTCCAAATCTTCATCATGTCGGATTAGGCCCCGACTTTCCTAACAAGACTCCTAAAGCACAAGAAATAAAATAAAGAATCAAGAGGGGGAATGGGGGCAGGAAAGATGGTATAATGAGATGGACATCATTACCCTAGGTACATATATTATTGCTCATATGGTGTGACACTTTATAACCAGAGAAATGAAAAGTTGTGTTGCAATCATGTGCAATGAATCAAAATGCATTCTGCTGTCATATACTCCTAATTAAAATAATTAAATAAATTAATTTAAAATAAATCAAGACTCAATAAATGGGATGGAATCAAACTAAAAAGCTTCTTCTCAGAAAGCAATCATCAATAAGGCAAAGTCAGAGCCTACGAATGAAAGCAAATTTTCACCACATGCCCATCAGGTAGAGCACTAATCTCTAGGATATATAAAGAACCCAAAAAACTTAACACCAAAAAAACAAACAACCCAATCAATAATTGGGCTAAGGGGCTAAGCAGACACTTCTCAGAAAAAGCTACACAATCCATCAACAAATATATGAAAAAAAGTTTAACATCTCTGGTAATTAGAAAATGCAAATCAAAACTACTCTAAGATTTCAACCTGCTACAGTCAGAATGACAGTTATCAAGAATACAGACAACAATAAGTGTTGGTGAAGATGTCGGGGAAAAGCCACACTCATACATTCCTGGTGGGACTGCAAATTGGTGCAACCAATCTGAAAACCAGTATGGAGCTTCCTTAGAAAGCTTGGAATGGAACCACCATTTGACTCAGTTATCCCACTCCTACTACTATAGCGTCACTACTATAGTAAGGTTGCCACATCAATGTTTATAGCAGCACAATTCACAATAGTCAAACCGTGGAACCAACCTAGATGCTCTTTAATAGATGAATGGATAAAGAAACTGTGGCAAATAAATAAATAGAAACTGTGGCACATATACACAATGGAATATTACTCAGCATTTAAAGAGAATAAAATTATGGCATTTTCAGACAAATGGATGGAGTAGAAGAATATCATGCTAAGTGAAGTAAGCCAATCCCCCAAAACCAAAGGCCGAATATATTCTCTGATAAGTGGATGCTAATCCATAATAGTAGGGGAGCATGGGATGAGTGGAGGAACTTTGGATCGGGCAAAGGGGAGGAATGGGAGAGCAGGGGGCATAGGGATAGGAAAGATAGTGGAATGAGATGGATATCATTACCCTGGGCACATATATGATTGCATGAATGGTGTGACTTTATACTTCGTACACCACCAGAGAAGTGAAAAATTGTGCTCCATTTGTGTACAATGAATCGAAGAGCATTCTTCTGTCATGTATAACTGATTAGAACAATTTTTTTTATTTGTTCTTTTTATTTTTACCTGAAAGTGGAATGAATTTCGACATATCATAATATATGGAGTATAAGTTTCCATTTTTGTGGTTGTACCTCATGTGGAGTTACACTGAAGGTGTATTCATATACGAACATAGGAATGTCTTTTCCATTCCAATTCACCCTCCCTTCCTGCCACTCTTCCCTGTCCAATCTGGTGAAACCCCACTCCCATTGTGAGTCAGAATCTGCATATCAGAGAAAAATAATTTATACAAAAGGAAATAACTACCAAATACATAAACACATAAATAAATTGCTCAGGCTAGTCTCAAACTCACAATTCTCCTGCCTCAGCCTCCTGAATCCCTGGAGTTACAGATACGTGCCACCATGCCTGGTGAGGTCAACACTCTTGCCACCTCTTAAGGCAAAAGGTCACATTCCCTTTTCTAGAGACTGCTACTCCTCATTTATTTCTTCTCAGCAATGGGCTACCAGCACAGCATTCTTTCTTTAGTTCATAAATATTAAATAATTGCCTGACATAGCCAGGCCCTGGAACCTCCCTTAAGGAGATCCCATTCAACTGGAGAGAGAGAGACTCGTGATTCGAGAGAGGTAATAAATTGTGACACGTGCCAGGACAGAATCGTGCGTAGGTACAGTAAGGCACAAAGGGCAAAGTTACTTTACTGCAGCATGTCACAATCACAGGCAATCGACTGGAGTTGGGAAATGTGCGGTGTGATGACCCCACAGACTTGGCACAGCAGTGTGGTCTTTCACACCTGGTGGATATTTATCTCTGAGATGACTCTGGAATGTGCTGGGTCAGACCCACTGGCTCAATCAGGACATTATCTCAGAATGACCTCGTCTCTTTACACAGCACAGAGCTCTTCCTCTATCCCTAAGCCTTACAGACACTTTCCCCTGGTTTCACACTTTTGTCCATTGCCCATGGAAACCAGGAGTACAATCAGACCAGGACTAGGCACTCGGTGAAAGGAGGAGGGGCGGATGGACTTTAAAGGTATATATATATATTCCTTTTCTTCCTATTTTATGTTCCTTGGATGTGCACATTATATTTTAATGTAAGACAACTACCGCAACAAAACTATCCTTAGTTTTCCAAAGAAATTCACTTCATTTCTTCCACAGGCTGCATTTTTGCTCCCTTCCTCTCTATGAAATAAGCTGTTGCAATTTTGGTTCACTAATTTCTATCATACTCTTTTCCTCTGCTGATGTTCATCTAGAAGAGAAATTAACTATGTCACTAAATGATCTATATGTTGACCAAGCATGGTCTTTGGACAGATTTTTAACTTACATTAACTTTCAAAGTGACAGCTGATTTGTGACTCACCTCCAACATCCCAGGAGAGTGCACAGCACTGGCCACAGGTCAGGCATCTTTTGAATAAACAAAACGTTTACTGTGCAAAAGTGTTTATCCCAAGCCCACCTTCTCTGTTAAGAGTTTCCTAACTATCTAGGCCATTGAACTATTTCTTTCTTGCACTTCTGTAGCATTCTATGTAACACACGAGTTATATTTATATAGTCTTATATCCTGTTATTATCTTCTATGAAGGTCTTTCATTCATTTACAAGGCATTACTGATTACCCTCTGTGCTAGGAACTGTGTTAGCTCTACAAAGCATGAATAAGCCAAATTGCAGAAAACAGGCTCTTAGAATATAATGAAATAAGTAACTGCAATTTATAAATGTACGCAGTGCTTTGCAAATCCAGCAAATGTGTACCTTACTCTTTGCCCTCCAGATTGTCCTCTGCAAGCATTGGAGCAGTAAGCTTCCCATTTCTCACCTCAGACCTTGACCACCACCCCTAGGAAGTTGCTTTATGCTTGTGACACTCCAGGTCCCACACAAATCAGCTGTCACATTGAAAGTTAAATTGAAAATCTGACCAAAGACCACAGTGGGTAGAAGCTGGCGTGCTTCTTTCTCCTTCTCTGCTCAAGTTTTCACTTATCAACAAAGACAGGATACTAGGTCAGGAGCTACTTCTCCAATGTCCATATTTGCAGAGACTTCTTTTTTCCACTTTCTTCCTTTCATGTAATCCCCTCAAGTACAGCACAGTATGGAATGATAAACAGAAGCTGTGATGCATTTTATCATGTGGGTTTGGGGGTGGCTTTGTGATCCAGCTGAGAAGCACAGGGCAAGCTACAGTGGTGTTTGAGACCAAAGTCCAGCTGAAGACTTACAGCATTCCTTACATGTTCACATCCCCCCCCCCCAGGAAATTCACATGCAAGGATAGCTGTGGTTTTCTGTGGCTCTGAGTATTCCAAGAGCCCCTTCCATAATTCTATTAACATCTTCCCCAATTCCTAACATTGGCCTTTGGGGTAGAGACTGATCTTGAATTTCCTTTATAGTTACCTAAACAACAAACACAGAGTTAGATACTTAATGGGTACTCAATTAAAAAGACAAGACTACTGGGGCTGGGGATGTGGCTCAAGCAGTAGCACGCTCACCTGGCGTGCGTGCAGCCCGGGTTCGATCCTCAGCACCACATACAAACAAAGATGTGTCCGCCGAAAACTAAAAAAAATATATATATATATTAAAATTTCTCTCTAAAAAAAAAAAAGACAAGACTACTTGTAGATGGACAAATTCTCTCTGGATCAGATTTTCATATATTAATTTAATCTCAATCATAATAAGATGTTGCCTAGATAATATTTCTTAAAAGAGTTTTGTAAGAAAAGATAGTATAATTTGCTAAGATAAAGGTAGACATTTCTGACAATACAAGTGGTTATGGAAAGCTCCTGTTCTCATTCCTGGCTGTGTCAGAATCACTCATGAGGCACTTTGAACACTGGGACTTTCTAGATCTTTCCTAGAGCTTCTACTTCCAGAAGGGGGTTGATGTCCACTAGCAGTACTTTTCAAAGATTCCATAAGCAGTTGTTTTTCAAGTTTTTATTTGAAACAGGATCTCCTTAAGTTACTGAGGCTGGCCTCAAACTTATAATCCTCCTGCCTTCATCTCCCAAGTCACTTGGATTACAGGCTTAGGCCACCATGCCCAGCTCCATGTAATTTTGATACATGGCTAGAACTGCAAGTCATTGTCCCAAATTAAAAAAGAAAGAAAGAAAAGAAGGAAAAGAAAAACTAAAGAAAGAAAGAAGGAGAGAGGAGAGGAGGGAGGAGAAAGCAAGAAAATAAATCAATCTAGGATCGATGGTATCAGAAATGCACCAGAAATGAGTCTGGTGCTTCACCTTTGTCAAGTAAAAAAAGTTAGAATTTTACCTGGTAAGACTATAGGGACTTACAAACCTTTGGAGCTTTCATCAAAGGTAATTTAGAAGCCACCCAAGATAATCATATTTATTCATTAATGCTAGTATACACTGAGCTTATTATTTTTGTTTATTTTTTTAAAGATTGATCATCAATCTAAGGCAGAAATTTGAAGTCAGAGGTAATTATTTCATCCTTCAGCTCCTGTTCTCTGTCCCTATAGTGATTGCTCAACAAAGAACATTACCTGGAGACAGTGGAACGAGTGAGTGACTCTGCTTCAGATGAGGCCAGATCAGCCTTTGCACCTGCCCATGATCTCACTACTGCAGGTGACAGGGCTGGACTCAAAGCCAAGTGAACCACTCCTAGTCATCGACTCCTCTCCTCCTGCCACAGGCCTCACTCACCTTCAAACAACTGTCAGTTATTCCCAGTGTTAAATCTGTCCTTTGAGAATATTATTAGCTTCTGCATAGAATATTAATAATAATGTGTCACAAAGGATTTAAAAGCAATTCTCAAAAACTAGTTAATAAACGTACGTTGAGCAATGACAACTCTGTCCATTTTGAAAAGGCAATGTGTGTTTCTACATCTAAGTTCTGATTGCTTTAAGGACAGTCTTCCATTTTGTACTTCCAGGTCATACTGGGTTATAGTCTATTCACAGGTGCTCCAGTGAAGGACGTCCACATGTCTGGGTTAGTTTACTGGTGTCTGTCAGGTGATTATCTCACTAGACGAGTTTGGCTCAGGTCATCCTACAAAGCAAAACCTGTAACTAAACTTTGATCTATAATTAGTGTCTGTTTACACAATCATACGCTTTTGGATAGCATTCCCTACCTAACTGCCTTTTGTAAGCTGACCCGTAGCACCAAGAGAAATGTGGTTTTCAAATGTAGTCTCGCTATAGACCCTTTTGAAGCCACCACTGAGAAAACAACTATAATATTACATGTTCTTAAAAATACGACAGTGCAAGAGGGCTACCACTGTTGACCAGCCTCCCTTCAGCAATAAGGGAGCTATCGACTTGGGTCCATTTCAAACACTAACTTTTTTTTACAACAGTATTTTTGCTGTTATCATGTCCTCAAATAGAAGATAACAGAATTCTGATAAACAAAGAAGTGGATCAAGTGAAAATTTCCCCAATGGATATTGAGTAACTTTAGACAAAATGGTTTCTTTGGATAAAAGAAAAGGAAAAAAAAAAAAAGATGAGTACTAAAGTTTAAAAAAGGAAAAAGATTTTCACAGAGATCATGGTTTCTTTGCTGGTATAACCCAAGTGAGAATGAAAATAGATCTCCTTGAAACACACAGCACGGATGTAAAGCTTGCTTGAGATTCTGTGCAGCTCCGGAGACTCAGTCTGCTTCTTTTCAGCCTGTGCTCCTTGTCCTCTAACAATGTCTCCCTGGAGCACAGCCCAACCGTGGAGGGTTCTGGAAGGTGGACCAGTGCATACTTTGGAATGACCTGGCAGAGAGTAGGGGTTGTTTCCTTCTTGGAAAGTTTAAATTCTTTCCTTTCAGAGTAATACACTCTGCTGAATATCTCTCCAGTGTCTTGCTTACCTTCAGTATGCTCTATTCATGCAAACGACACTTGACAAATGTCTTAGCTTGGAGTGTTGGAGTGACACTTCTTCCACATCTGTTGAGTCCCAAACCATGAGAAAGATGCTGTATGATTCTCAAGAAGATAAAATGCAAATGTCTGATTTTCTCCCCATTCTTCTCTAAAGACTTCCAGTACATTTCAAGTTTCTGTGTATCTTAAAATTATGTTTCTTGTACTGCAGAACATATATCTTGATTTAAGTCACTTAGTTATTAAACAGTAAACTTTGAGGCTCATTTGTAGATTGGAGGAAAATTCATTGTGTACTCAGAGTTCACAGGGGACAGTTAGAGGGGTGGAATGGAACTTCTTAAATGCAGTGGTTAGTTTATGTTTTGTGGCAGGAGATGGCACATGTGATTTTGCAAGGTGGCGCCACTTTGGTGGTGGTACGGGAGGTGAAGAGAAAGTCCCTTCCCTTGTTGTCACCTTGGCAAGGTTCTGCAAGCACCCTAATGGTCTAGAGGTGTCAGGACACTGTTCATTGTGTCAAGAAAAGAAATCTGGCTGCAATGTGCACGATCGTGTGAATGAATATTCAACACCTCCTCTCAGATTCACAGCTAATGATCTGGAGTTTGAATTTTCAAGGGCCAATTGTGCAGCCTCTTTATCTTTCATGCTGCCTTTCTTTTTAGCAGTTTCATTATTTGTTCACACCTCCCGGAGGAGAAGCGGAGAAGGAAGATGAAACATAAATTCATCAACCTTTCCCAACTCCATCCTTCTCTTGCTGGTTCTCTGATTCCAAGACAGGTTGTGGGAAAGTCAGGAGGGCTCAGGAGAGCAGTCTTCTCTGTGCCATCAGAAAAGCACACAGCACACAGTTTGTCCCAGTAAGGACTAACAGTATCTTTCTCATACAAAAAGTCAGCAGCCTAAGTAAATATTTTACTATGGCATTGCAAATAAATAAATAAATAAATAAATTTTAAAAGCCTGGCTTTTAAATAAGATCAATTATCTGAGGGTTTCAATGACCTAAGTGTGAATATCATCAGAGATTCTGCAACACAGTCCATATACATGTCGAGTTGTAAGTAACTACTGAGTGGTACACAACTGGACTGGGTTCTTGCCTCCTTTAACAGACAGCCTGACACTAAGAGGCATGGAATTTGGTTGGTTGTTTTTAATGGCCGTCATATAGTCTTCTGGCTTCCTTTGGTAGAGCCTCTTAGGGGGCATTTGAGACCAGGGCTATATAGCAGAACCAATGCTTCTGATGCTGTGTAGGTGTAGACATGAGAAACTGAACATACTCAGGCATAGCTGTGTTGACTGGTGGGAACATGGGGCCCCTAGGTCAATTGTGACGTAGATGAGGCTTTGCTCACAGACCCTTCTTGTTTTGGAATCCTCTTTTGCCCTCATGGTGCCATGGCTCCCTCCTCATAGTGCCTGGCTCCTGTCCCCATCAAAACAGAAATGAGCAATCCATCAGTATGAGATCCAGTCCCCAAGAGACACTAATCTCTTCTACCCTGCTAGGAGCCACAGCAAAAGTATTATGATACATGGCACCTTTGGTTTAGGTGACTGCCAGCTAGCCATTGAGATGATATGATTATGTTAAGATTTACATTCATATGGAAATTGGACTCCTGCTGTTCACCTCGCCTGCTATGGGACTCATGTTATGGGACTCCCGGAGAGTTCCCATTGGTTGGGGAAGGATAGTAGGAGGGAATTTCCGGGGGAGGTCGGGGGCCCCCGGTTCCGGTAGACGCACACACGTGTGTGGACCAGCTTGCTAGCGGGGCGCACACGGGGCACTGGCGGCCTTTTTAAAATAAAACTTTGTTTCTGCTCGAGCGGCTTGTGATTCTGTGCCCAGCCGGGTTGCGGCACTACCCCTTTCCATTGCCCTTAGTACTAGTGACTGCCTCCTAGCGTGACCTCTGTACTGGTCCCTCTGCCTTCACCTTCTCCTCTCTACCTCCTCCCCAGCCAGAGCTATAGTTCCTCAGGCACTGCTCTCTTTGTCACTAGGCTTCAAGCACCTGGCCCCCCATACCTGGGACATTCTTGTTCCCTATGCATCTATGCAGCCTTTATGGTTTCCTCCAGGTAGCCCACCTTGACTCCTAGCCTAAACTAGCTGTGTTCCTCAAGCTCTTTCCCAAAGCTTCTCCTTTGAAAGTTCTCAGGTCATTGTCACCTTTGTGTAATGTTGTACTCCTTCCAGGTTGTAAGTCTGAGTCTCTGAACCCTAATCAGAACAAATAGACGTGTTCACTGCTGCATCCCCAGCAAAGTCTGGGGTGTAGTTCAATACATATAGCAAGTACTAAATACATATTTGAAGAGTGAATGATTTAATCTGGTCCAGATGTGTGCACCAATATCAATCTGTAAAGGTCTAATATACTTAAATTCCTGAGGAGGCATTCTGGTTTTTATCCTGCACCAGTTGCACTAACAGGGAGAACAGACCAGGGTCCAACCCTGTTGCAGACCTGCATGGAAGATGCCCAGGCCCCAAAGGCACATGAGCTTCTTGAGCTATACCATCAGGTATGTGTCTGCACCCGAGCCACATCCATTCTCTTCCCTTTTGCCCTCTTCTCTCTAACCTGTCCTGTATTTCTGTCTCCAAAATTTTAGCTGAGAGTTCAGAATACATTCTTAGTGTGATCATTAAATTTGCTTTCCTTCTCACATCTTCCCAGTTGAGCTGGGTTTCACCTTATATCCAGGTAGTTTTTTTATAACCAGTCCACCCATAGTCCTCCTTAATTTACTCCAGTCTATGCTACAGATTTCCATCTTTATTATTGTTGGCACCTACATATCTCATACTAAGCATGCAAGTGCTTGTGTGCACGCACACACACACACACACACACACACACACACACACACACACCACACACACCATTATGAGATGGCTATTGCTCAAATGACAATTTAGAACAATCATATTAGAAAATCTGGAATTGAGGGAAATGAGCAATTAGGCCTGTTAGTAAATGTCAGATGAATTGTCGTGATATGTATAGGATTGGAGGGTGCCATGTTGGCTGTTGTGCAAGATAAGTAAGTAGACAGCTGGCTGGAGTATATGAGCAGAGTACAAAGTCAGATGCAGATGTCGAGAGACAATCCATGTGGCACTTATGATCTGGAGAAACTAGCTCCAGTTCCTGACTTTTCTGTTTTATAGTATTGGGGATTTCTGCTCTTTGCATCCAAAGGAGTCATGACTGGAATGCTCTAAGACTTCTGGTTCCCAAGGGCCCCAGTTAGCCCTTTCATATAAGCCCAAGAAGAGAAGGAAGAAACAGGAGCTCCATGCTGGGAAGAGAAGCTGCAGGTGGTGCTGAATGGCTCCACATCATGCCTGGGAGCTTCCATCACTTTCTAAACCCTCCTCAAGGATGATGCCGTCTGTCTGTCCACTGGGAAGCACGATGGGTCAAGGTTGAGTACCTCTAAGCATTAGAGATGCAGACCAACGTGGCCCAGTATTTTTCTGAATATCCAAAGCTATGTAGCAACCAATCCCATATCTAGGGCTCCATGAGCTTAGGCTGAAATAGAAAGTGACTTAAAAGTGAAATGCTAGTGTTCAGTCATTCTCAGAGATTCACCAAGGGACAGGTAGGAATAACATAGTAAAAGCATTAAAATAATGTGTTGTGCCTCATAAAGCCAATTTTTAAAAATCTTCTCATTGGATCCTACCACAATTTTATACTCCTTCAGTCACCGATCTGAATAGTTTTATATTCTGAACTTAAAAAAAAAAATCTATCTCCATCTCTTCTTGTATTGTTATTTAAAAGTGAATCTAGGGAGCTGAGGCTGTGGCTCAGTGGTAGAGTGCTCACCTGGCATGTGTGAGGCACTGAGTTCAATTCTCAGCACTGTATATAAATAAATAAAATAAAAGTCAATCAACAACTAAAAAAATATTTTTTAAAAA